AGAGGTTCAAGATATGGAGATTTATTATTGGCTGTGATATGCTAGCCCATCGTTTTGGGGTGAGCGGGGAAAGTAATCTTTTTCAAATTGGTGCAGGTGATGCATTTTTCCTTAGTAAACATTTTATATTTCTCTAATAATGTAGTAAATACAGACATATTGGAATATACATAGCTGTTTTGGTTGATACATAGTTTCCGTAGTTTCTAAAGTAATTTTATTAACGCGTATTAGACGCAAACCTGGCCTTGCGAATTGAAAATATCCCAGTAATCAAGATTTCTTATAAAACAGAAAATAATGCTTGTACTTTAATTGCCAGTATTTTTAATAAATCATAAAGTTCAATTAGGTAAAATAGTGGTGTGGAAAAAAATGTGCACTAAGATTTAGTGACAGAGAATATTAAGCTGTGTAAGAGGAACTCATTTGCATTTATTTTTTCAGGGTAAAAAATCCAGAAACAGAAAGCATTTAATGCTTTTGTTAAAAAATTAGTGCCATTTAGGTTTATTGCGGACTATTGTACAATAACTGGTGAATTTATATATTATAGCAAGTACGAATAAATCTACTTTCAACAAAAATGTGTTACTATATGATTGCTATCAGATATGCGGTACATATAACTAGCACCAGGCGCGGCTCCAGGGGCATGCTTTGGGGGGTATTGCCATGTTTGCGCTTATTATATAGTAATTAAGAAGGGGAATAATAAACAGGATGCACATTTAAGTTTTCAAACAAAAAACAATGAGGTCTCTCCTTTCCCCTTTCCTCATTTTTTCCTGCAAGTCTGAGGCTTTGTGGGGGCAATGGCACGTCCCCCCCCCCCTTGTTCCGCATTCCAAGTCGGTTGTCACACTGACAGTAACAAGCATAGACCATAAATACTCATACGTTTGCGAGAAAATTTTCGGCGATACGAAACTAAAGAACGTATGTCTGAACTTATACAAACAAACATCCGCGCACAGAGGCAGATTGTATATGTCTGTGTGAGGGAGATGGGTATGTCAAAGTGATGCTGGTAGTTTTAGTGTGATCCGCCAAAAACCGTGAAATGCACTATAGAAGAGTATGATATTTTATTAAGACTACATTCATATAAACAATACATCCTTGATGTTTTGTAATTGCAGTTACTGTTTTGGGTTAAAATGAAACACAGGTCACAAAGGGCTGGATGACTACGAATAGCACAAATGAAATCTGATTGTTGATTAAATACTCGAACACCCCGATAACGTGGCAATCACGCATTTTTGTGAAAAAATGGTTAATGGAAAAGTTTCAGTCTATTAAAAAGCAATTTGTTGATTATCTCTAATATAACCCATGCAATGACCTTAGAGTTCATTTGGAGCTCAAGTTTGTACATTCTAATAGAAACACTACAAACGACAACAAATCCGTATGGAGCTCAGAAATTTAAATCGGAATGTATTTTCATACATGACGTCAAGTGGTCTTAAGTGGTTGAATAAGGTGGAATACATTATTAGTCATTGGTATCACATACTGTAACGACTGAAAAGTACACGAACACCTGAGGATAGCTTTAGGTGATCTAAAAAGATAATAACCTCAGACGTTACAGTAGGTCTCTAAGGTCATTGCATAGGTCATATTTGAGGTCATCAACAAGTTGTTTTATGATATCCTGAAACTTTTCTTAAAATCTTTTCCCCTAAAAAAATGCACGGTTACCAAGTTTTAGGGATGTTCGGGTATTTAATAGATAAATATACATTCAGGGTGTTCATTTAAAAACTTCTCACCACGGATTTATCGGAAACCGCTGATTAAAAGAAAAAACGCCGAGACACGTCAAAAGATTTGTCAAGGGGGACAACTTTTTAACCAAAAACTACTTCACCCTCGGACTCAGGGTCATTCCCTCAAAAATTTTAAATGACAAGGGGTATCGAGTAAAAGATTGTTTGAATGGTCATTCGAAGTACTTTATTTGACTTTTGATTTTCTTAAATCAGTCGATTCGCTTTCGAGAAAATTAGAAAAATCTTTATCTTAATTTGTTCAGATAGAAAACAAAAACACACGAAATCACTTTTTATTTCAATAAGTTTTCAAAATGTTGCCCGTTAGGGTTTGCCAAATCTACAATTCGTTTATAATTTAAAACTGAAACTACCAACATAAACAGTACTTCGGAAGATTATACGTGGCAACAAACCAAATAAATAAGTAAAATTTTTTGCGCATTATTTTCATCAACAACATATCCTGGGTGAACTGTATTTATTGTTATATCTGTTATTTGTTGCTAAGGGAAAGCAAGAATTTAATTTGCTGTCGGTTACTTTTGTGACATTCTTGGGATAATGAAAATTAATTTATTGATTCAGATTTACTTCCAAAATGGTTTACACACTAGCCGAAAGAGTGGAAATGATTCTAATTTATGGTGCACAAAATCAGCAAACTGCCGTCACGTTTAACGCCATACATCCGGCGAAGATAACTTCGCATAGTATGTTTTGAACACTGTTACTAAATTTACGCAAACTGGATCTGTTGCAAACAAAAAAGGTTATCATCGGAGAGTTTTGGATGAAGCCGCTCGTGTTAAAGTTTTGGGTCATTTTGGAATAAATCCTAATACTTCATTACGCAAAATTGTTGCTGCGACTGGTATGTCAATTAGGCTCTGTATACACAGTTATTAAACTCCATAAATTTCATTAATTCAAAATGAAAATATTGCAACAGTTAACTTTGTGAACAAATGGCTGCAACGATTAATGTTAATACCATTCATGTAAAGAATATCTGCTGGATTTGTTAATACGCATAACTGCAGGTATTGGAGCAATGAAAATCCTCATGCTTTTGTAGAAAGGCATTCCCAGTACCCCCAAAAAATTAATGTATGGGCTTGGAATTTTAGGAAACAAAGTGATTGGGTCATCGTTTATTAATGGAAATTTAAATGGAGATAGTTATTTAGATATGTTGGAAAATACCATCAATCCGATATTCACTGAAAGCATTAAAAACCAAATCGAGGAGGCTGGAAACCCTATACTTGATGAGGCTGAAATATATTTTCTTAATATGTTCTTTCGGTTCGGCAATGGCTAGGCGACGAGTTTACAGATAAGTGGATAGGGCGAAGAGGACCTATAGAATGGTGCTAGATCTCCTGATTTGTCGTCATTAGACTTTTTTCTATGGGGTCATTTGAAATCTATTGTTTACTCGCCAACCTGAAAGTTTGGATGAACATGTTTTTGAAAATGTCCGTCAGGAATTTGAACATCGCGTATATCATTGTTTGGCCAATAACGGGCAACATTTTGAACACTTATTGAAATACAAGGTAATATTTTCGTGTGTTTTTGTTTTCTATCTGAACAAATTAAGATAAATGATTTTTCTAATTTTCTTGGAAACGAATCGACCGAGTTAAAAAAAATCAAACGTCAAAATAAAGGACTTTTAAAGACCTTTCAAACAAGCTATTAGTCGATACCCCTTGTCATTTAAAATTTTTAAGGGAATGATCCTGGGGGGCAGATGGTCAAGTAATTTTTGATTAAAAAGTTGTCCCCCGTGACAAATCTTCTGACGTGTCTCGGCGTTTTTCTTTTAATCAGTGGTTTTTGATAAATCCGTGGTGGGAAGTTTTTAAATGAATATATATATATATATATATATAAATAAAAAATGTTCAAAGATCATAGGACCTGATGATGCAAGATACTCTATTCAACTATTTAGAAAAAACCGTTTATGATAGTTTCTAATGGATTCCTACAAAAACCGCTAGATTAGAACAATTTTTAAATTGGGACCTTCGTTATAGTCTCAGAACACCTCAAAGAACCAAATGGTTTAAGCAAAGTTTTCCAGATCTGGAAACACGATCCTAATTCGGTAAAGCATGCATTTTCTAATTTTCTTGGAAACGAATCGACCGAGTTAAAAAAAATCAAACGTCAAAATAAAGGACTTTTAAAGACCTTTCAAACAAGCTATTAGTCGATACCCCTTGTCATTTAAAATTTTTAAGGGAATGATCCTGGGGGGCAGATGGTGAAGTAATTTTTGGTTAAAAAGTTGTCCCCCGTGACAAATCTTCTGACGTGTCTCGGCGTTTTTCTTTTAATCAGTGGTTTTTGATAAATCCGTGGTGGGAAGTTTTTAAATGAATATATATATATATATATATAAATAAAAAATGTTCAAAGATCATAGGACCTGATGATGCAAGATACTCTATTCAACTATTTAGAAAAAACCGTTTATGATAGTTTCTAATGGATTCCTACAAAAACCGCTAGATTAGAACAATTTTTAAATTGGGACCTTCGTTATAGTCTCAGAACACCTCAAAGAACCAAATGGTTTAAGCAAAGTTTTCCAGATCTGGAAACACGATCCTAATTCGGTAAAGCATGCGCATGAACGTATTTTCTTCTCCAAAATCAAAATTCCATTGCGCTAGGTTAACGGTGGGCTGAGTTCATAAAAGGCTTAAAACATTCTAACCTTAATTTAATAATTAATAATTAATTTAATAATTTAATAATTTTCAGAAAAGTGACTTTTGACCAAGAAAAGTAGCAAATTTACCAATGTCTGCGCTTCGGGTGAATCAACGGAAATAGTTCTTTTCGCAAAATTTGGCAAACCCTCGAAAGGCAATAGTCGATGTCGTAGGGTGAATTAAAGGATAAATAATCTAATGTAATAAATTATCTTCCAAAGTTGATTTGGCAAACACCTCGAATGGGAGTAGTCGATTTTGTCGGCTTGAGAAAAGATATAATTTTGTGAAATTACGTCACAAGTCTTTTAGGCAAACACAGTATGAGAATAGCCTATGTTGACGGGTGTATTAAAGTTTATTGCCAGATCAGAATTAACTGGAGATTAGGAAACCAGATCTAACTGCAACTGCTAACTGGTATGCTGGGCAGATCACATGGTTTGGTCATTTTGGTTAGGTAATAACAAAAACTTTGTCTATGATGCCTCTCTTTATTGCAGCTAATTGGTATTCATAAACATGTGTGAGTGATTAACGCGATCCTTAGAAACAAAATGTACCTGTCATCCACTCAGAATGGTCACCAAACTCTTGACGTCGTTTAAAAATGATCAATATATATACGAACATGTCTCTAGGCACAAACCAGTTCAATGGGAATACTCAACATACAAATAACAAATATATACACTTACCATTTATTCACATTAAGCAAACAAGTTAAATAAATCAGAAATAAAAAAGGATGTCAATTCAGCTATTATACACATAATTAACTATAATTCATGCACTGTTGTTCTTAGATATAGATCATGTTAAGTACCACTACATATTCCTATGCAATATTTATGGTTCTTCTTTCGATTGAGAGGCTGAGTCTAGGATTACTTCAAAGGAGAATGGTTGGAACATATAACCAGCTCCCATGTAGAATTTACTTTGGAATTCTACCCTAAAGAGGATAAAAATTGTTAATTAAACTGATGGTATAGGCAGAATAAAAACAAAAATGTATATGATAAAAATCAAAATGTGGTTCAAAACTGGTGAAAGTTACTTATTCATGTTAGTCGCGATACTCAGATTTATGGCTCATTCTAGAAAGTGCGATATTATAAATGATCGCGTTTTCAGAATTAACGCTACTGAAGCGAACATTTATTACGTTACACAGTACTTTTGAAGCTGATTAACGTTTCACTGCTACTAACTAAACCATAATCTTAATAAACCCAATGCATGTAACTCTGCACATTAACAAACTTCAGATCTGCATTGATTTGTATTTGTGGAATAACGAATTATGTTGAAAACAAAATGAAATTACCAGTGCAATCGAAGGGTATGGAGGAAGGCGGAGAGTCCCTCCATAAGGACTAGAATGGAGACTGTCAGGCTGGCCCAGAAGGCGAAGATCACATATAGGGCGATACCTCCTGGCCACCCTTCCACTTTCAGCCCTTTGCTCAGTACCATGTTCCACAGCACTTCAGACAATTCTGAAAATTTAAATAATTATTAATACCTATGAAACACCCGAAATTGGCCATTTGCGAGTCGTGTTATGAAAAAAAAAAAATATGTAATAAATGAGCAAGAATTCAATATTTTCTTAGATTGTACTTAAAATGTGCAAAGATATTACATAAAATTACAGTTATTCCCGAAAATTTTCATTTCCAGGGCCGAATCGTCAGTCGTTCCTACAATTGTAGGACACCTATTGGCCTTCTTGATTTTCACAGTTTTCTAATATTTCGTGTCAGCGCTCTATTTTGAGATTATGTCACAAATATCTATTTGCATCAAATTTTTTATGCTGTTGATTTATATCATGTTTTATCATGAAATTTAAGAAAACATAACTTCACAATAGGAGAGCGCAGACGCTGACACGGAACAGGTGTAATGTAGAAATTTTTGAAGGAGAGAAGAGACTATGACAATAAAGCAGGCCATAAAGGCGTCCTAAAATAATTGTAGGAACGACTGACGATACGGCCCTTAGAGAAAATCTGGGTCTAGTACATTAAGCATACAGATTGCTAGAAAAAAATATCCGTATAGTCAGCTTTCATAAAAGGTATTAAATATCAATATCAAAGCGTTTAATTCGTAACTTGCCAAGTTTGTTGTCTAACATCAAGGCACGTAAGACTGTTTGACTAGTGTTTAACTTGGACTATTATTGGTGTACAAATAAAAACAGCAATCTATGAGTGAACCGTCCTTGGCTTGGCGATTCGCCCATAGATAGATCTGCATGTACCAAGGCGGTGTTGACAAACTGCCATAAAATGTTTAGAAAACGCTACATGTATACTCAGCTGAATGAAGTGCGGCACGGGTATTACGTATCTTCGTTATATCGATCTTTTGACATCATACTGTGCTTTTTTTTACATTATGTAGGTTTACCGACAAGATATTAACTTAGCACTAGCTGATCGACCCTTGTCGTGAGCTCGTTTGTAGTTGTACGTGTTGCCTAAACGTCATGATGTTTCAGTTATCAGTGTTTAACTCTGATGTGATGTAAAATCTGCCTCCGAGATGGCATTACTGGAGGTCTAAGCTGAGGCATAGTGAGGATTTGTGTGCTAATAATGTGTGTTGGTGATAATTCTATTGGATTCTTGTCTCAAATACACTTACATGAGATTCAAGGCTAGAAATTAGTTGGGAATCCATTTTTTCTAATCCATTCTGGAAATTACATATGCAAATTTGCTGAATTTCAAAAATGAGAGAGAAAAGAAATAATTATATTCACAGAACACTGTCGAATTACAAGTCATATACATACATGGTAACAGTAATTACACACAACGCGGGTGCGGTGGTGATGTTTTGTAATTCTTCTCAAAGTTTTAGAAAACACAAAAGAAAAAAAACGGGAAAAATCATTATATATAACTTTGAACATAACCTCTCTTCAGAAAGAACAACACAAATAACCCGTCTGACACAGCTAATAGATATATTTCATTGGCAGCAAAGTCACTAATAATTTTTTCACATAGCAAATATCACAGATTTTATACACATGCAGACCAATACAATCATCCAGATGCGGTCTTGCTGCTACTCAACCAAACTTTCGTACTTTCACATTTTGAACACTACAATAATTTGTCTACAAAGTCGCTGTCTGCAACCAACAATGCATACTTGGAAAGAGACGATGCCGTAACGTTTATTCATTCCTTCATAGATGGACGCTTTGTATCGCGCTCACAACGATCTTAGTGAGCAAACGTGGAATGACAGTTTGCACCCTAAAAACTACCTAGACTTTAAGATGGCATCTTATAGGTTCTTTTTGACGTTTTATAGGTTTATGGCATACCGATGCGGTTCTTTTCACGGTTTCAGGTTAAGTCAAAAAGTTACACGAGATAAGTAAACACATTGTCTTGAGGTCAGGCTATCTGAATAACCGGCGTTGGCCAAATAAGCAAAATGAGGTAAGAAAACTTTTGAAGTCAAGATGACGTTCCTCTTTTGTTCTAAAATAAACCGTTTAATACTCCTTTGCCTTTGCCCTACTGAGCGGGGCCGTGGCAAATCCTTGTTCCGGAAGTTGTTGTATCCAGTATACAACTTCTTCCCTTTCAAGTGATTGTACACGCGTTAAGGAATACCTCAGTACCGATTGCCGGTATAAGACAGCCAACAGGCCACTTTAGGTCTATTTAATATCATCAACACGTAAAAAAAAGGTGGTAGACAAGCACCAGTCGATCGAGGCGGTACCACCCGCTAGCTTTTCCCAAGGTGTCTTATAAATGTCTGCATGTTTCCATACCTAAGCTATGCAGCCGGTTATCTTCCAAAACAAAGAAATTAATGATGATGGATCCCTCGAGCACTAAGATCTCCGGACGTAAACTCACTCCACTCTCGGAATGTCCGGGTTGAGGGTGGACTCGAGGGAACAACATCGAAGATAAAATTTGTTTTTCGAACATCTGCGGGATTAACAGCAACATTGATGCTGTTCATCACTATCTGCAATCTAATCGTCCCGCCGTGCTTTTCTTGGCGGAGACAAAAATCTCAGAGTCTGCACCGATTAACCATCTTAACTTCCCAAACTACGAGGTGCACTCCAATCTGCGAAAGAACGGGGGAGTTGTGGCCTTGGTCCGCACCAGTCTTTCTTGCTATAGAGATGTCTCTCTGGAATCAGACCGGAAGGACATTCTGTGGCTTCGCCTCAACTCCAAAACATCCTCCAAATTTATTTGCTGCTTATATCGCTCCCCTCGAACCATAACTGGGATGACCTACTCGAATACCTCGCCATCCCGATCGACTTCCTGAACATCAATCACCCCGCTTCAGAGGAAGTTCTTCTCAGTGATTTCAATGCCCATAATGAGCTTTGGTTGAGCTCAAACAAAACCTGATGCAGCAGGTCGTGCAGTCGAAGCGTTCGCGCTTACTCAATGGCTGACCCATCTGGTGACGAGCCCTACTTTTTCCCCCGCGTCTCGTCATACGCCAGTAGCCTGCTGGAGCTCTTTCTGACCACGCATCCTGTCCCTTACAGCACTGTTGTCCTGTCCCCCCTGGGCAACTCGGACCACGGTGTTGTCGAGGTTAGGTTTCGGTCAGAACCCGCTGTGGCAGCAGAAACTCGTACAGGCGGGAAAACTTGACATTACGGACATGCCGACTAGGAGTGGCTCAGAGCTTTCCTCGGAGAGATGACTGTTTCACTGACGCGGATGCGTCGGCTGTCTGTTCTTCGTTAACTGAAATTAGGAATACATCCCTCACACAGTGAAAGTGCCTAAACCAGGGTCCAACGGCTGGTTTAACAAACAGTGTGACACTGCTCGCCAGTAGAAGATCAAGGCACACCGAACCTTCTTACAAAACCTCACTGTAGAGAATAGACAAGCCGAAGTCAAGTCCAGAAACAAATATAACGAAGCGGTTCGCAATGCCAAAAACCAGCACGATATAAAAGTTAGGCACAGGGTAATGTCGCAGCACAATGGCAGTCTGTGCCCAAGCAGATTGAAAAGAACCCAGTAGCCTTCCACCACTTACATGTCACGATGGAACTATTGTATTCGGATCAAAGGCCAAGGCGGAAGTGCTAGCCAAGATCTTTGCTGCCAACTCCACCATGGACGTCCCCCCCAACGCCCAAGTGCCATCAAAATTCAAAGGGTTCCCTACACTATGCGGGAGGTAACATTCAGGCATAAGACCGTAAGACGAGTGCTCTTGTCGCTCGACATCAACAAAGCTTCTGGTCCGGACTTGATTCCTGCCATTGTGCTGAAGAGGTGTGCACCGGTTCTTGCTCCAGTTATTTCGCGTCTCTTACAGATATCTTATGAATCCGGCACCTTCCCAGAAAACTAGAAATTTGCTCATGTCCAAGCCATCCCAAAAAAGGATCTAAGACCGACCCTTACAACTACAGGCCTATACCACTGCTTTCAGTTATAAGTAAGGTGACAGAGAGGTGCATAAATCGCGAGCTTCTGGACTACCTCGAACGTCCCAGCTTGATTAGCGACAGGCAGTATGGTTTCCGGCACCAACGATCCACAGGGGACCTCCTGGCTTACGTCACGCAATTGTAGAGTAAACTCATCCAGTCTTATGGTGAGGCTCATGTCGTTGCTCTTGACATCACGAAATCGTTCGATCACCTGTGGCACGCTGCCCTCTTAATCAAACTTCCATCTTGGCCTCCCACAAAAGCTTTGCAGATGGCTGGCTGACTTTATCTCTGGCCGCAAGGTATCCGTCCTAATTGACGGGCTCTCCTCTTCATCCCACAAGGTCAACGCGGGTGTTCCCCAAGGATCGGTCTTGGCTCCGACACTGTTTCTCTTACATATCAACGACCTCCTTTCCTGTACGATCAACCCAATCTACAGCTGAGCTGGAAAAAAGAAGACTAGCGACGACTTCCTATCTGACAAGAGACCTGGAGGCTATCACTGCTTGGGGACGCAACAATCTTGTACAGTTCAATGCTTCCAAAACACAGTACTGTGCTTTACTAGCGCTCATCTGGTTTCGAGTTCTGTCAAAGAGCCATTCATTTCGGCTGGTCGGAGTCCAGATCACCGAGGACCTGATTTGGCACGAACACATCTCGTCAATAGCTGCAGCTGCTGGGAAAAAGCTAGGCTATTTGTTTAGGGCTAAGAGGTACTATTCTCCGCATGACCCTCTCAGTCTATACAAGGCCCAGATAAGGCCTAGCCTCGAGTATTGATCACACGTTTGGGGTGCTGCCACCCCGACTACATTATCCATGCTCGATGCTGTCCAGAGGAGGACGGTCCGACTGGTCGATGACTCTTCTCTATCAGACGCACCGGCGGACCGTCGGTGATCTAGCTCTTCTCTACCGCTACACCAACTTTGGCGTCCCATCCTAATCGTGTCGAACTTCGTACATCCAGAACTGGCCGATACGACCGCTCCCTTGTCCCGAGGGTGTCGAGATTGTGGAACAATGTACAAGAGGAAGCTTTTCCCAGTACTACTGACCTTAGGCAGTTCAAAAGTCGTATTAACAAAATTTCTTTGGGATCATCATAGCAGCCGCGGTGTTCCTGCATTTAGGCTTCTGCCTGCGCGGCTGCTTCAATATAAAAAAAAATCCGCGTAGAGCTCTAAACGTTGAATAGCTATGTGAAAACCTACAAGTTTTGAGAATAACTTCTCGCGATAAGTGTGATCTATAACATTATTGAATGAAAAGTATATTTCCTATGCTGCAAATGCATGATAAGTATCCCCACCAAGAATAATGTCTAAACAAAAGTAAATTTAAACAAAAAATGCTTTCACTCATCTTCGACTCGGATTTTTGTTGCCACCAGCGCTCATGCTTTTTGTTAAAATTATTACTTAGCAACGCGTTTTTTAGATTTTTTTTCGAAAAAATAGATGCCCTTATGATATGAAAAATTCTTACGGATTTCTTAGATACGTTTTTCTTATTAAAAGCCGTGATCGTTAGTCGTTCTCACAATATTGTAGGTCGCCTTTATGGCCTCCTTGATTGTCATAGTAATTTCTCCCCTTCAGAACGCCTGGGGTATTTCTAGATTTCACCTGCTCCGTATCAGCGTCTATTGTGAAGTTAGGTTTTCTTTTTGAATTGCAGGAAATTTTAGGCTGATAAAACAGATGATATAAATAAGAGGCATGAATAATCTGTTGCAAATAGATATTCGTGACAACCTCAAAATAGAGTGCTGACACGGAACCATAGGAAACTATGAACATCAAGGAGGCCATTAAGGAGTCCTACAATTTATTGTAGGAACAACTGATGATACGTCCCTAAGACTTGAATGCCCAATTTCGGGTGACTGTAAAAAAATACAAAAATGTAAAAATCTCTAAAACTGTCAATCTTCGTAGATACATATAGGTACAGGGCGAAATTTGTTGCATTTTAGTCCCATGTCACCCCCTGGAAGGAATACGGAAAATTACCAGTAACCCTGGTAAGGAAAAAGACACATTTAATTAAAACCACAATCATTCAAGCCACTGATTTATGGATTAACCAGACTTTATTTACCTTGAGATTGAGTGAATATTAATACATTGATTCTAAAAGTGTACGTTGAGTCTTTTCACTTTTGCGAGCGGGAAGTGTCCCTTCCGAAATTCAAACATAACATTCCACGCTAAATTTTTATTTAGGGTGACGTCAAAAGTGTTTTCCTTTGTCATCGAGATAATGGTTTTGTCAGATGTGAGAAAAATAGGATTTTTTTCTCTGGCATGGACCGTATGACATAAAATGTTACATTCTATGGGTATCCGAAAGGAAAATCATACTCACTAGCTGATTTCTGCAGTGTAAAGATTTCAATGTACAATGAAATTCTGCCAAGGTGTAAAATAGCCCCATTTCATTTATTTCCATATAGTACAATTGAATATGCCTGCATGGCATTTTAAATATGTTTACTACAGTATTTGGTTGAGCTATTTATTGGTATTTTCGATCAGCCAAGTCACAAAAACAAGGAGATCCATATTTTTTCGACGTTAGGAAATATGAAGTAATTCGCATTTAGTGTGCCTTTTTGACATTAATGGTTAATTCGTTACTCAAAAAAATCGTAGCCTGGTTTCACGAAAAAGTTGGGAAAGTCTGCGAACCTTTCACAATGAAGCAGGCAAAACTTCTGGGCTACATTACCATCTCTTCAATCATAGCAAAGCTATTTTATTCATGACAATTCGATTATATTACCTTGGTACTAATGTATATAGTTATTGCATACTTTTAGCAATCATGAATACCACATACATAGACGTTATTGTTAACCTGATTTGAAAATTTCTTAATACAAATCATTGTGATGTTTGTTTTATTGATTATAATAAAATACTCGTTTTAAGGTTAATAAAAAAATCTAAATTTTTGAATACTTCTCACTTCATTCTATAAGGCTGTTCTTTCTCTCTAGAACGCTGATCACGTCAAATCAATGTCAAATGGACTTATAGTTTAATCAAAAAAGTTTATGAATGGAAATAGTACTTACGAGCGTGAGCAAGTGAGAGCGCCCACAAACGCAAATAGGAAGCGGTGTGCGAGACGGAGCCGAGGACGTACTCGATCGTGTGGATGGCTTGGTGGATAAAGATCTCTCCTAGAGGCTCCTCGTCGTGGCCCTCGCCGTGCCCCCCTGTGCCACCACCTGTCTGCTGCGCATCGCCGTTCTCCGTTGCTGATGCCATCTGTTGATGTGTCACCTGGAATCACAAAATACATAACATAAAATCTTATAGATAATTAAATTATATTGAGCTTCAGTTTCATATTCCAAGATACCGAGCTAGCATGTATACGTCGATAGTCGTCGATTAAACGAGGAAATTAGGTGTAGTACGTCACCGGTCCTCGAGTGACGTATCTTCCACGTTAAACGGTAACGCAAATGCACCGACTTGTGCAAGTCATTTATACACGTAACAGAAACGTGGATAAGAGGTGAAATTTCGACCAATTCATAAAATTGAAAATATTTTACACAAAAAATGTGCGAGTGACAAGCGTTTCATTGATTGACATAATTTATTTGTAGGAAAATATAACATACATATGCTATGAAATGTTCCTATAAAAATTACTTACTAATTTTTTTGCTAATTTATATACAGTACTTTTCTTTAATGTCCCCCTCCCCCTTGATTTTTTGAACGGATCAATTCGAAAAATTAAAACTTGAGGAAATGAAATTGATGCATGGATACCATATTTTAGAGTAAAATTGACAGATGAAGACGTCAAGATGGCCGCTGGACGCCATCTTGGGAAAAAATTATATGAAAACGGGGTCGTGGGGCACATCATTTTGAAGCTCCTGTCGAATACTTTATAAACCTAGAATATAAAGTCAATACCTTTACCTACTACAAAATGGTGGTACATTTAATAATAACTTGAACAGAAACCCACTAACATGCATATCTCTACAAATAATTGTAATTCCTGCCGTATCCGCAGCAACAGCGATAAAAACTTGTTTTGTTATTTTTTGTTGACAGTGACAAGAATATCAGTACGAAAACAAACTTCATTGTACAGTTAAAATATTTTTAGTTTTCGGTTTTAATGCTAGATACTGTTTGAACTATTTTTAAACTGGTCAATTCTCGTCCATTGGAAGAAAAAATCGAAGCGATTTTTATTTATGGTGCGACGCGTAACTTTCACGAGACCGAAAGGATTTTTAGGCCCAATTTCACCAACAACAGTTCGTTATTCTCCACCTATAGGGTAACAGACCGTCAGATACAGCGAATGAGCTTCAAGTTCCAATCAACAAATTTTAGCAACCAATAGCTATGAAATGTTGAAAACAAAATACTGTCAAAGTATGAGATGACAACTTGTCATTGAAACATTACCAGCTTATTGAATATTAAGAAATTACATATAATTCAGTCAAAATTTTAACAAATGTTTGATTTTTGAATTAAATTCATGTTTTAATTACTATTGTTGATTTTTTATTCATGTGTATATTATTTTCTTCAATTGATATGAGATACTGGGTGTTTTTTCCTATAACCTCTAGCAGATAGCCATTAAGCACCTACTTGATGACAAGCTCTACAAAAAGATATTGCTCGTTTCCAAACATTCATTCATTTACTTGCCGTTCATCAGAACCATTATGGCACCTTAGATTGATATTCCCACAAAACCACTCAGGCTTTTTGATATCCATACATCCATAAAGTTGAATATTTTTCGTTGTTCAGGAACTGAACAAACATCCACACTATATTCACAGCGATTAAGAAATTCCCAAATATATGCCTTAAAGCTACCAGCAAACCTATAAAACTTGCAAAAAAACCACAAATTTGCCATATTTTTCTTTTTTCACGAGTACACATTCTAGGTTATATTTATATTAGACATTATTTGAATACAGCTGATTATTGCATTTCAAGGAGTTACACACGTGTGGGATCTGTCAACTTGGGTTATACATCTTGACAGTAGGGATGTTCGATAGGATCCTATATTTAGAAGTATCAATACATTTCACGAGTATCGTCATCTTTCGATCCGGACTGTGTCAGAAAGAGTGACTGTCATTTGGCTGCGACATTACCCTGCCAAATCAAACACATCTTTCATCATTTTCAAAGAAATTGTACAAAATCTTCAAATTTGTGAAGTTATCGAGAGAATGAAGTGAAACTTCACTTCATACGTTCTTACCAGACATGCCCAAATCATCAGTTGCTGTCGTGATATTCATCACGACCACTGCATCCCCACGGCTAGGTGACCTGTATGTTAAATTTGTATTGATAGGGCAGCGGGTTATACTATAAATCATATGTCACAGTGTTTGTGCACTGATTGCAACGGTTAGATGATACCAAAAATATTTTCATAAATAGGAGATCTTTTCCATTCCGGATAGAACAATCTACCAAAGATGCTTATAATCATGATAGCTAGTAAATTTTCACGAAAAAATTCAAAACCAGCAAATGTAAAAGATTCATTTCGCACCTTCCACCACGGGACGTGATCGTCGTTAGACTTGGCAACCCTGCGAGTGTCCAGATAGATATCCCCGCCAGTCAAAAAAGAACAATAGACAAACAATAAACATTGCTAGTTTTTTTGATTTTTGGACTTAAAAGCCATTATCTGTGAAACATTTTTCATAATTTTTTGTCTATGTCCATAGTACGAGTAATTGCATTATGCATCAGGGAGATGTAGGGATTGACACGTCTTACACATATTATCTGTGTTTTAGGATGGAGAGGACATAATGTTTGTATTGCTTTGAAGAAATTCATTAACCCATAAATTAATAAATGATTACTATTAAGACGTGAAGGAAGATGAGGAATTGGATGGAATGTATTTTATATTCTATTTTCTTGGAAAATACAGACAAATCCACACTATTCAACAGGTATGTAATGATAACTTTCAGTATATTGAAGTTGGTAAATTCGAGAGTGCCATGCATTAACAAACGTCCAAATCTGCTACCAAATTTAACAGCTAGAAAATCGACCTATTATTTGCCGCATTCCCTTTCGCTGAGGGGGATAACGGATTGTTAAATGTAAACCTATAACATATATCAAAATACATGAAAGTTTTTCTGATCAAAAGCATCACGTTGGAATCAAATATTACTGTTGGTGAAATTGGCCCTAAATGATCGTTTCCCGAATCGTCCTATCTGTAGAAAATATTCAAGGGAACTTGTATCTAAATTTACAGCTACTGGTAGTGTAAACAACAAAAAGCCCCCAGGTCATCCGACCATCCCGGAAGAAAAGCAAGTTCAAATAATTGGTGAGATCATAGTAACCCCCAACAGCCTACTTCCTCCATTGCGAATGTATGTGAGGTTTGTCCTTCTACTGTATAGAGACTTTTGAAAAAGAATAAGTATCACCCACACAAAATTTAAATGGTACATCAGCTAATTGAAGATGACCCTGATCGGAGAACAAAATTCTGCGAGACTATGACGGAAACCATTGCACGGCATCCTACGAGTACCTATATCCAAAATATTTGTTTTAGTGATGAATGTACATTTTTCCTCAACGGTAATGTGCATAGACAAAATTTGGATATGCTGGAAAATACTATTGACCCTCTAATCACCGAAATCATCGAAGCGTATCCTATGAATTCGATACTTACAGGTATATTGTATTCCAGCAAGATGGTGCTCCACCACACTACTACAGACACGCTAGGAATTATTTAAATAAAATTTCCCCGGTCGTTTGATTGGCCGTCGAGGTCCTGTGGAATGGCCAGCTCGGTCGCCAGATTTGAAACCTTTTTATGGAGCTATTTGAAGCAAAAGATGTACGAAACTGAACCTGCTTCAATATTGGATATACGGCTTAGAATAACAAATATTTGTAGAAATATCGAAGTTACTATGTTTGAAAATGTTCGACGCGAAATTACGGACCGGCTGTTATTGTGTCCAGAAGTTCAAGGCAACTATTTCCAGCATCTTCTAAACTGAAGCAACGTATTTATTCGAATTATCAAGTTAAATTTCAATGTATTCAGGTAATTATTAAATGTACCACTATTTTGTAGTAGGTAAAGGTATTGACTTTATATTCTAGGGTTATAAAGTACTCGTCAGCAGCTTCAAAATGATGTGCCACAAGACCCCCGTTTTCATATAATTTTTTTTTCAAGATGGCGCCCAGCGGCGACCTTGACATTTTTATCTGTCAATTTTACTCTAAAATATGGTATCCACGCATCAATTTCATTACCTCAAGTTTTCATTTTTTGAATTGACCCGTTCAAAAAATCAAAGGGGAGGGGGACATTAAACATATCGACAAATTAAGCTAAGAGTACCCTTTTGACTCACAAATTCTCAAGCTTTCGACAGGCTATGTTGTCATCTTCAGAAGTCCGTCAGTGAGAATGGTGCTAGTATTTGATGTTATGAAGTGTAAATGAGAACACATGGCAAGATGATAAAATACTGGATTCACGTTGAAAAAACGATGCACAACATGGCTATGTTCTGCTAATACAGTGCAGACAGATTGGGTTTTGGGTAGTTAAGGTTTTCAAAATGGGTAGAGGAAAGGTTATGAGTGAGAAAATTCGGTTACTGATAATTAAATTTTTTAATTCTGGGAAATCAAACTCAGAAATTGCAACTTTGTTAGACTTGTCACGGTACACTGTCAGAAATATTGTTAGAAGATATAACGTAACTGGTTCAGTTAATATTAAGCCGCGATATGCGAAAAAAAGTAATATCACAAATGCCGACCGAAGAGCATTAAGAAGAATAATCGTGAAAAACAGGCGTGCCAATTAATTACAATTAAGTGCTCTGTGGAGTGACGCTGTTGGAAGGAGAATTTCGAGGTCCACAACTCATAGAGAGGGCCACAAACTGGGATTTAGCACTTGCAAGGTAAGTTTTCTTATAAAAAAGTGAAATAAAAACCCTAAAGTTGCACAACTTGTTTATATGCCAAAGAAAAGCCACTATTAACTCCACTGCAAAAGAAAGAAAGATCGGCTTAGATGGGCTAAAGAACATAGACAATGGACACCTCAACAATGGTGTGCAATACAATGGAGTGATGAGGCCCGATTCGAAGTTTGTGTTGGTGACAGTCGCAGTAGAGTTATTCGCAAAAAAATGAAGCATTCCATGTTGACTGTCTGAAGAGAAAAGTGAAATTTCCAGAATCCATTATGGTCTGGGGCAGTATGTCATCAAAAGGAGTAGGAAAACTTCATTTTATTGATGAAAATGTGGATACAAACAAATATTTGGCAATTTTAGAAGAATCGCTTTTACCAGTGATGGAAGAATGTTTGACATCCGACCAAGATTTTGTGTTTCAGCAAGATGGTGCAGCGTGCCATACCTCAAAAAAGGCTATAAAATGGATGGAAGAAAATAATGTACCACTTTTGAAATGGGTTTCTAGCAGTCCAGATCTGTCACCTATTGAAACTTTGTGGCATGAGATGAAAAAGGTTCTACGACAACATCCTGCTCGTACAATCACCGAACTGAGACAAAAGCTTCAAGAAATATGGCATTGTTTTACACCAAATTTTTGCCAAAACTTGGTTAATACTATGCCCCAAAGAATTTCAGCCGTAATAAAAAATAAAGGTGATGTTACCCAATGGTAATCTTTCAATTGATGCTTTGTTAACTTCGCGCATTTACTCGCACATTGTTTATTTGTTCAGATGTTCTACTAGTTATATGTATTTTTTATGACTAGAGTGTATCTAAAATGTTTTTGAGAAAATAAATTGTTTTAGAAGTAAATAGTTTCGTCATGTTTAGTTTATAAAGGCATATTTTGGTACAAATCTTGAAGTGGGACAACTGAAGTGGGAAGGGGCTCGTATACCTACCACCATTTTTAGGAACATCTTAGGCGGTAATGCAACGTTGTCATTTGGTAACAAGGAGACCAGCAAGTGTAAGAGGTTCATGCAACTTAAAATACAGTTAGGTCTGTTTTTATCTATTTACCGAATAGGCGTGCGCTTGTTTCCTCTTCCTCATGATGAGCACCGGTTTGGCAAGCAGCATCCACGGCACGCAAATCATGGCAATGTAGAAAAGCAGGTATTGGAGTCCGATCTGACCGGCGAACATGTTCGACGTCTTGCACTTGGGCTCGTACGGCGTCGCCTTCTGCAGCACCATGTTGATGAATGTGATTAAGATAGATGGAGCACACCGCGTACCGTACACAATGTCATCATCTGCAATAATAGAAATAGAGCAAGTTAGAAGAAGCAGATATCTTTAGACCGCACAGTATACAGTGCCATTCTATAATACGCCTTCGCCTTTTATTTGTTGAAAATCACCTTAGTAAGCTCAAATTCAGGATGATGAAGTTGCTGAACGAATTCTATATTTTAACGTGAAAGTGGACTAAGGAGTAGCGGACAGACCGGTAGAAAGACCGCCGGATATCAGTGACATGGTTTTTGGTGCTGTTATATAACATACATACAGCACATCTCATTTTCTAAATTTTTCGCGATAACACTTCATCGCCAGCCTTACGAATTAAAATGACAAAATTTAATAATACTGTATGTTAAAATGAGGACCGCCCCATAACAAGGAAACCAAACTACAGAGTTTTCATGGTCAGCTACATTATAAGCAAGTCAGTGTACAAAAACTACTGACGGTACCAGAGCTCAACCGGAATATGGCTGTCTGTATACGAGTCACGTAAAAAAATTAGCAGCCTTATCTCCGAACCACATTGAAGCTGATCCTTGCTGTTAGACAAAAAAAGGTTTGTGGATTTAAAGATCAGGTCCAGTGGTATCAGAACATTTAGGAATGTTCAAGAACTTTTTTGATTTTCTTTTAATTTTTAGACGTAGTCAAAATACGTTTAGAATAATCTTTTTTTTAAGCCCTACTTCGTTTTCGACGTTTTCTAACGTCCTGATCTCTTTATGGCGTAGTCAAGGAAATTTTAGGGAGGGAAGCAAAAATCAGGCATTTCTTATATTTCACTTATCACCAGTGCTTAGAATTTCTAGAATAAAAAAAAACATTCAATATCAGAGCGTTGGGAGGTCCCAATCAATCTACCTAATTCCATTTGTAGCTTTGGCGTAATTTTAGGTTGATGATTGTACTTTTTCACACTACAAAAATTGACACTTACCTGAAATATTAGCAAAGTACACAAACCATTTGATGAACATCAGCAGGACCATGTACAAGAACAAGAAGGTCAGGAATATAATTTGAGGTATGAATTCTGTGAGTATGCTCAGCCTATTCTTAAAATACCTGAAAAAAAAATGTTTTGTTAGAAAATATGACAGACAAGCAGTACACCATTAGTAGTTGGAGATTGCCTGAGTCTATATTAGCGGCAGAAATCAAGTAACTTCATCATATGGATGACAGATGAATGTTCGTATCAAGTTACTTTTCATCTTACATTTTTTTTTAGTTCCCCGACAGAGGCCTACAAAGTAGATTAAATATTATTTATTCGATTTACTGACAATTCAAGATTTGATAACATATCATGTGGAAAATGTTCGAATCTACTGAATAGTAGACTGATGTTTCTAAGTGTATATATTATATAAGCCCTCCCCTCACGATGAACAAAGCTAGTTTACACCACTGCGATTCAGATCTAACAAGGTAATTTTTAGACTAAGATACAGCAATACAAATTTTTTTTTAAATAGCAGACCTGGGCGTCTCTAAATCCGCCCTTGTACAATAAGTATCAGATTCAATGTCAAATACTGGTAAATCACAGTAGATACTGTTCGTGTTACATTTGGCTAAGGAGACTATAGCTGTTCCACCACACTCTGTTTCAGCTTGTTTGTCCAATTATGAACATTGATGTTTCTATTTTCCGTAATATTATTTGATAAGCTATTTTCGAACTTACAGGTGATTGAAGAGGCTCATGACCACACCAAACAACATGTGTATGATGCCGAGAATAATGGAGATCTTCATCTTGAATGAGTTCTGGAAGATAATCTTGTTCGTAGCCAGTTGCCAAGCTGGATCCATGCCTATGGGGTACGATGTGCCTAGATAATTCTGATCCGCCCGAGCATCTAATTCAAAGACGGTCTTAGACTTCAAGTCGGCATTGCTGATGTTGAAGATACGCCAACTTGGGCCAAATAGGTTCAGTGATTTGGAGAAGATGTCGTTGTAAATAAACCCGGTGTACATTGAGAACAGCCCCATCAGTAATATGATGTATCTGCCGCCAAAGAATATGTTCCAGATCTGGAAAATGGGAAGATTACACTCCAAACAAATTACGCCAAATACCTCATTTTCGCCAAAACCAAAGAAAAGAATTCATTACATGGAAATATAAGAAAGTGATACGTTTCAAATGCACTAAAATGAAACACCTAATTGCCAAAAACTGTTTTTGGTCATCTTTAGCCACTAGTTTCTGAAAAACCGCAAGATATTAGCTACTACATTTTAGTACATTCGGATCACCCTCCTTCCAACATGTGTTCTAATAGCCGCTGCCGTCCTTTAATTTTGGTACCAAACACTTGGCTAGATTGGAGTACGAGATTCTTTTAGTGCTTTTACGTCTGAAGTATCAAGTGCTGTGCGTCCCATGATACTCGGTGTTTGTGTCTCGTGTTATTTGTGACAACTGACACTGTCAAGCAAAATAAGTTAGACGTTGAGCTTCAAAGTCAACTTTCTACAGGGTGGGCTATCAGAGTGCTGGCGATTTAAATCTTAAATTTCTCGGAAACGCGGGGCGCGGGTTGGGGGGGGGGGAGAGATAAGCTGATAGCCGCGCCGTTGCCTGGGAATTTAGTCGCCATGGAGCCATACACGGGAGCGCAGCGTGCATTTTGTCTCCCAGCGTATTATGAAAACAATAAATCGGTTATTACTGCACGACGTTTGTATCGACATGAACACGGTTTACGCGATTTAAGAGAAGTTCCAAGCGCGACTGTGATACGGAAATGGATCAGAATGTTCGAAACAACCGGCTTGACAGGAGCAATAACAGCTCGTGGTCGTCCAGTTTCTGCAAGATCAGCCGACAATGTAGAGTGTATACGTGTTTCAGTTCAGCGAAATCCGCAACAGTCAACACGTAAGAGAAGTCAGGCTTTGGACATCAAAAGAACGAGCTTGCGGCGAATTTTGAAGCGTGATTTGCATTTGAAGGCTTATGAGATTCAACTAGTCCAAGAATTAAAATCAGATGATGCCAATAACCGACTTAACTTTGTCAACTTGAAGCTCGACCAATTCAACAGTTTTAATAACGTGATGAGGCCAATTTTCACCTCAATGGCCATGTTAACAAACAAAACTGTCGGTTCTGGTCCGAAACTATACTATAACTATCTAAAACTGTAATGACTCATCGATGTTCACGTGAACATCACTTAACTACCAGTAGTCGGCTGTTCATAGGCGGGATATGAATGTTTAACATGGGTGAACTAGATTTGTCACATGCTTAATAAAGAGTGGTTTGAAACATATTGTAAGTCAAAAATTTGGGAATTACCTTTATTCATCGTCGCTTCCACTTACATCTGACAGTAATAAAATGTCGCTATCGCTTTCCTCGTTGAAATTGAGTATAACTGGCTCTATGATGGTGTCGATGTGGTGGTCAAGCTGCCACATTTTTGTTTCTTCCTTCACAACATGACGGATAGCATTCTGCCAAGCTTCGGGCGTTACTAGCTGTATGGAAGTCTCGAGTAAAACCTTAACGTCTGGTAATTTGAAGGTTGTGTTATGGCGCGCAATATTACCCTTCACTTGAGCCCAGATGAGCTCTATTGGGTTCAGTTCACAGTGGTAGGGCGGTAACCGCAGCACAGTGACACCACATTGACGGGCCATCTCATCAGTCACGTAACTAATGTTCGCAGGTTTGTGCTGTTTAATTTTTTCATACAATTCCGCTTTCACACATGAATCGTCAAACGGGATTCCTTTTTCGCGCAACCATTGCTGCATGTCACTTTTTCGAGATCCCATAGTCGGTACACGTTCGGCTCGACGACTATGGTAGGAAGCATTATCCATGACGATCACAGAGTTGGGCTCAACTTGCTGAAGCACCCCTTAAAACCAGCTCTCGAAGCAGCTGGCATTCATTTCGTCATGGTAATCACCTCCTTTCTTAGAGACGAAAATCAAGTCACACTCTTCTAAAAAGCCACTATCGCTACCAATATGAGTTACGATCAATCTTTGACCTTTCCCTGACGGTCCACGAAGACCTGTTCACAAACCTTCAATGCTTGCTTGTCGGTTACTCACTACGTTTTTGTCTATACAGGTTTTCTTAACTGTGTGACCTGCATTTACCCATGTCTCGTCCAAATAATAGATTTTTCTGCTTTGTCGCCTATATTCAATCATTTCGCGTAGGTATTTTCGACACCAGGCGACTATTTCAGGTCTCTCTATCAATACTGACTTCCGATTACGCGTTTCGTAACGAAACATTTGGGGTATAATTTCATTTTCCTTGATCGCTGCATGTACAGCCTTGAGGGTTGGTATCTCATTCCTAAAGAAGAATGAATGTACGGTTCGCCTTAACGCCATTTTGCTATCGTCATCCAATTTAACGGCCTTTCGTCCCTTCAAATTAAACTTTGGATCAGTAGTAGCTCCAGTTTTCTTCTTTTCATGCACCACCCTGCGAATGGTCCACTCTGGAACGCCTATCATACTTTCACAACGCGCGAGTGCATCTCCCTGCGACATAGTTCTGTTCAGATAATTGAACACGTTGAGCACGATTTCTTTCGCGTCCCTCTTCAGTGCTTTACGAAGCCGTCTACTTGTTCCCTAGCTTTCAGTACTTCCACTCGTGCCATTTGTACTCTACATGGTTAAGTATAACCAAAACAGTAACCACAGAAACCACAACAATAACAATCACACAACAATTCTTATAAAAACGCACAATATGCGATCGCTCAACGAAACCCGTTCCAATGCGTTGCCGACGCCTATGAGTCTGCCGGTCGAGGCGTGTCTTTGATTTCATTGGTTCTACCGGCGGAGAACAATCAGCCATTATTTCCATCTCTGTCTGTGCTGTTGACCACCGCAAAGCCACAGAAACGACATATGTCGTACGCTATACGGCTGTACTGGAAGGAAGCCGGGATCGAGCTCTGATCACGTGTTGATCACGCGTATGAGTCATTACAGTTTTAAATAGTTGTAGTATAATCACCGACGCTTGCATGAACGTCCACTTCACAGCCCTAAACTAGTCGTGTGGGCTGGAATTACGTCAACCGGAAATGTAGGATCCTACTTTTTTGAGGACAAAAGATGTCAAGGGATGACAGTTAAAGCTAACAGTTATTGCAATATGATAAGACTTTTTAGTGCCAGCTTTGCAAGAACTCCAAGGCAATACCTCTAGAATGTGGTTTCAACAAGATAGAGCCACATGTCATACAGGTAGGGTATCTATAGAGCTGCTGAAAAATGTCTTTCCCGGAAAACTCATTTCGAAAAGGGGGGATATTGAATGGCCACCACGTAGCCCCGATCTGTCTCCATGCGATTATTTCCTATGGGGCTACCTCAAATCGGTGGTCTACAAGTATAATCCAACTAATTTAGAGCAGCTGAAGAGGAGTATTATTCAGGAAAGTAACAAAATACCGAGAACAACTTTTCAACGAGTTTTCCAAAATCTGCAGCTTCGGTTTCAAGAGTGGTAAGCAGCCGAAGGAAGTCATTTGAACAACATTATTTTTAAGTCTTCAAAATTCCTATCTTTCTACTTTTTAAAAATATATTTATTTTTCTTTTATATCGCGTAGTTATTTTTTAATTGAATATTGAAATTGCCAACACCTTTATGGCCCACCCTGTGGTTATAGTTGCCTTAAATGGTTTTCTGGTTACAGTTAACTACCGTTTTCGAGCAAACTTGATATTGAAAAACTTCCTGTTATCAGCAAAATTACAGTCAAGCTGCGATTGAAATCCGGCCATTTTACAACGATAGTGACGTTTGCTGTATAAATGTAACTTGTCTCGGTCGCGGTTTCCGGACTCGCTTCCGTAGCTAACCGCCACCTATGAACATTTGATGACCATCAGACAATTGTATTATCATAAAACATCAATAACCTCACCTCATTGTCGGACTTTTTAGCTGCTAACGGTTTCTCGTTAATCACCATCCAAGCACCAAATAGTGCCATCAAACAACCGTGGCCCAAATCACCAAACATCACCGCAAACAGGAAGGGAAACGTAATAATCGTGTACGGTGCCGGATTCATCTCTCGATACGATGCAATACCATAAGAGTCGATCAGCGTCTAAGAACGTTAGAAATCAGTAATTTAAATACATTAAGATAAAGAAATGGGGTCGAATGAACTGGTGAAATCAATATACTCACTTGAAAAGCAGATGTGAACTTGTTGGTATGGTTATAAGTGGGCGGGTCTTCAGGTGTGTCCATCTTGTTTAAAATGGGAGGTACAGAGCTGCCACTTCGTTCCTGTAAAATTGACTCGATGTAGATACTCGCTTTCAATAGTTACATTTACTTGTATTCTGTATCTGGACTAACGTATTTACTACATCTTGCGATTTACTACAGCTGCTGTGTGCAAGTGAGCTTGCGAATAATATACACGCAACCCTTTAAATCAGTACCTAAACCTAAGGTACTGATTTAAACGAAGGTAACATCGAATCAACGGAAATATATTTAATCGGCATTATTGCGCCAGAAAAGGCTGCTTTGAAACCAATCATTTTTTTTTCAAATTAAGAAACTGTTCTGCTTATGTTCGTGTATACTGTTATAAATCAATTGTAGGAAAACACTATCTAGATAAAATAAATTACAGAAATAAAGTACAGAATATTGCCTAATGATAGAAGTAATGTTGTGATGCCTACAAGAATGTTACGAGTACAAACTGATGGCGATTTGATTATCCATCTTGATCACTAGATAGTCTCGAAAACAGTATTTTGTTACTCAAAAAAGTAATCGACAATTGACTTCTTGGAATTTCTGCCAGCCAACCGTTTGCAAAATCTTATACCTATTTTATAATAAACACTTACGTCGGTCACCTCACGTGATCTTACTTAACCTAAGTACGTCAGCTTTCCTTGTATGAGATTAGGTTAAGTAAATTAGGTTGTGACTTTATAAAGGCAGATCGAAATAAAAATAACAAGGATTCAATATAACCTCAGTAATAATTTATATGCCGAATATCAACGGTTTATAATGCACCATAACTTACTGTCCCTCTCCGTAAAGCCAACTGGATATTTTCCAAATCCAGAACTGGTACCCAACATTCGGCAATCAGACATTTCTGTGTCACGTCCAAGTTAAACAAGTTCAAAGTGTGGTAGATCGCTTTAATTTTCCTGACTTTCACGAACCAATTCTTGATATTTTTCGCTGCAGCCACTAAAACCCTGTGCCTGTGATCTTGAGTTTGCCCCAACACCTAAAAATGGAATATACTCGTAATCAATAAAGATTGTCAACATTGTTACTGCCAAAAAGAAGTAACTAGGGGCCACCTTTTAAACATTAAACTTCACTCGTTTGGTTGCAATCCAGTACTGTTGTTCTCGCTTTCAATACTTAAATTGACAAAGTTATTTCGTCTCTCATTGACAACCATTTAAATTTATTGATAAGACTAACCGTATTTAGATCTTCAATGCGAGTCATAACGCCCATGGCCATTTCGCGGCGATCAGCTGGTGCCTCTGGACATGGATACAATGTTGCTCTAAAGCCTTCGCAAATCTTTTTCACTCTGGTCTTCAACTGATCTCCTTGGAAGAAGATAATGAACACCGACTTGTAAACTTGATCACCCTATGAATTAGAAAAAAGCTCATGTGACAAGACCTGCATTTCTTAATAAAGTACACTAACGTGCTATTGTGGAAAATCGAACAACCTATTAAGTCACTCTGTTTCATGCAACAATTTGCGTAACTTACATTTATTTTTACTTAAATCCTAGATATACTAATGAAACAAAAGTAAAGAATAGACTTACATACCAATTTTTTGATCATGCCAAGTTAGCCGAAATTCGGGGTGGTGAAATTTATATCTGAATACTATGGTAACATCCTGCATAGGGTGGTAGCACAGCTTAGATAACAGTGAATTAAACTCTCCTGTCAGTGTAAAAAACGGCCGCCATTTCGGCGGAGAAAATCGCATGTAAATTCCCCTAGTACAATGATGAAAAAGCTTTTAGGGTCGTTCCTATGGCCTCCTTGATTTTCAGTATTTTCTCTCCTTCAGAAAGCCTGGGGTATTTCTAGATTTCACCTGTTCCCTGTCAGCATCAGCTTTCTCCTATTGTGAGGTTATGTTTTCTTTTTGAATTGTAGGAAACTTCAGACTGATAAAACAGATGATATAAATCAAAAGCAAGAACAATTTGATGCAAACAGATATTGCCCTTAGGGCCGTATCATCAGTCGTTCCTACAATTATTGTAGGACGCCTTTATGGCCTCCTTGATTTTCATAGTTTTCTACTTTTCCGTGTCAGCGCTCTATTTTGAGGTTATGTCGCAAATTGAAATTTCCTACAATTCAGAAAGAAAACATAACTTCACAATAGGAGAGCGCTGACGCTACACGGAACAGGTGCAATCTAGAAATTTTTGAAGGAGAGAAACGACTATGACAATCAACGAGCCCATAAAGTCATCCTACAATAATTGCAGGAACGACTGACGATACGGCCCTAAGTGTTCAGCAGTAGCCGATGCTTTGAAATTGTAAAAATTATAACATTCTGATATGATCTAGTGAAGTTTATGTGAACCAATAATAAAAAGGAGCATGTTTGTCCAAAAAGCAGCGACGAAGTATTAAGTATTTATTTATGAAAAAGCTTCTCAATACATTTGTAACGGAGGAAGTATCTACAATAAACGGAAAAATAGTTTAATATTCTATCCAATTCATTTTCATGGTAAACACTGATGAAAACACCAGGCAAACACAATATTCACTAATTCACAAGAATGTCTGTGTCTGTTGTGGAAAAAGGACAGCAAACCGCCAGCAAAGTGACAACCAACGCAGTTAAACCTGACACAGGGTGATTTTTTAATGTATAAGCGATCGGTAGTTCCAATATGTTAAATACCTAAAAAATTGTAGCCAACAATAATATGCTCCTTACTTGGAAAATATGCCGCTCTCCACAGGGTGAGTCTTAATTACATGATACACAAACATACATATTTTTAAAAATAATATCATTTTCTTATTCTTCGCTCATTCTAAACAAAAATTATACACATATCATAAATCAGAGCGGTCAACCTCAGAGAAATTACCGAAGACCTATTTTGTTTTGATTGAGCGAAGAACAAAAAACTATTCGTGCGAAAAGGTTTAGTTTTACTGATGAATAATGTTTTCAAAAACATTCATTCAAATGTTCATGTCGGCTGAGAATAAAATCTGGGGGTTTTTTGCTACCAACCAGTGGCGCTTTGTGACCGTAAAAAAGTATCTCGCCTAAGGGACAGATCATTAATGCAGCTGCCACCCCCATCCCCCCACTCTTCAATTTTCAATCGCCTCTAGGCCCCTTGATATGATTTGCTACAGGCCCTATCCTGGCTTAATCCAGCACTGTTATCAAGATAGCTTTATTTCAAAGAAATGTTACTGCTGTAAAACATAAAGCGGTACAGAATTAAAAATTGTAAGCGCACGACACTGAGGATGTTTCTACATAAACAAATCAGACAAGTTCAGTGTTTTGTCGAAGTCCAGAAGTAGCAATACAAACCCCATAGCATGCTATATAAAAGTCCTTCTTTTGAACAAACATTTCAAAATATACTAAAATATAAGGGATACTTCGGCTGAAAAAATTATGTTTGTGTTGTAATGTCACCTTGAGAGCGGCAAATTTTCCTAGTAATGAGCGTATAGCTGCCTACAATTTTTATAATTATTTTTGGTATTTAAAATATCGAAACTATGGTCCCATTACACAATATTTTTCCGTTTATTGTAAATACTTCCACCATTATAAGCTGATATTGAGTTTTTTTTATAAATAAATAGTCATGAATACTCGTCACTTCTTTTTGAACAAACATACTCCTTTTTATAATTGATTCACACAAACTACACTAGATCATATTAAAATATTATCATTTTAAGATTGCAAGAAATATCTGCGGCCAGTGGCAGGATACGCGCAGGATGCTGCTGAATACTAAAACCTCTTTCATCGTTGTACTAAGGGACTTTACATGCAATTCTCTCCGCCGGGATGGCGGCCACTTTTTACACTGACATGAGAGTTTCATAGCTGATTGTTATCTAAGCTGTGGTGGTAGGTCAAAGACAGCTAGTGTGACATTTTGGTATTTTTGAGTTGTGTCATGTTTTGTCAAGTTGTAGGTGAGGTATGTTGGCAGTTAGTTGTTTTAGTAACTGGTATTTCTCCTCGAATAACAAGACAAGTGTTATGTATCATTTCCTCCCTTCAATTTGGGGTAGTAAGTGTAACTTTTGCCTATTTGCCTTATATAACTGCAATCTCTCTTGTATGACATTGCAATGTTTACTCACCGATGAAGGGTCCTCCAATGGAGTCTCTATCTCAGCTTGCCTCAAAAAAACATTTCCTCTGCAAGCTCTCCATAGCATTCTCTCGAACGCCGGAATGCGTTCCCTCAATATGACGCCGGCTACAAAACTATTAAAAATCGATTAGTCTCGGATATTTTTCAAAAAATCACTTACACTTACGATACTTAAATATAAATAAGTGGTACAAAAGGCATCAATTATATAAACGTTTGGTTAATTTGTTATTTTTTTTTTAGATTCACACCGCAAACTCAGTCTTTATATAGGCAACGGTGGTAAACGGTGGCAACGTGAATTTTCATACATTTATACAGAATTTTGAAAAAACGATCTTACCAGCACCGATGTAAATAAAATGGTATTTTTTAGAGCTTTATAAAAAAACAACACAGAAAAAATATCACAAAAAGTAGCAAGCGAATATCACAGCTTTCATAGGGTTAACTATAACATGACAATAAAAATCGTCGTAGAGACAAGGATTGCCAATAAAGATGTGTTATTATACATAAAAAATTTTTGAAAGGGCAAGATGTATCTAATTAGAATTTCTGATAGACTGTCGGGCAAAAAAGTAGCACCAACGACAAATAAAACAATACGGATAATATTCCTTGTCCCTTCAAGAAGAGGCAACAATTACCTACAGACAAGATTTTTAGTTGCATTGGATTTTGAACTACAATGTCCTATGTACTTTCAACAAAATAGCATAGCGTGCAATTAAAATAAAGAGCACCAAACATAACACAGCTAGCAGTTAATAGGAGCCTAAAAACTGCGTTTGACAATTCAAAATGTAGTTGTTCTACAATCGAGGTTTGCTATTATGATCTATTTGCTTAAGCGAAATGTATACGAGTTATTGTTAACTAATAATTTATACTACAAAATATACAGCAAATACTATTTTGGAATGAGTGCTTTATTTCTACATCTAATATTTAAAGGATATTAAAAAGTACCTATTATATAAATATACGTAGAAAACTAACTAACTCAATGGCCAGTACGTGTTAGAGGTTAAAATTGTATTCAGTAAATTTGTCTTACTAATTTAATAGTTTTATCAAAACAAAAGTTGATTGCTATCAAATTTCTGTATATAACTTTTTGAATCACAGACAAAATAAATACAAGAGAAGGTGTGAAGGCGTAAATTTTCAAGCATCATGAAACAAGAGATCTATGTACTGAATAAACATTATCTAAAGTCCAACATACCATTGATTCTGTCAAATGCAGTTTTATGTAACACGTTGCTATAACAGAATAATGCTTTTCCAGCTACTAAAATTAAATTTGCAAATTATAGAAGTACAAGAACAATACTGACCATGGGTAGTACTCCTCCGAGTCAAATTGTTTTTCAGGAAAACTGTTCAACGAAAATTCATCGTATATTAGAGGTTATTTATATAAAAATGAGCATTTCCGTAGCTTCAAGCATGATGAAGCGTGATGATCTAGTTAGTGTATACTCATGTGTATGATGATGTATTGTGAGTTCAATAGTGCAAAATGATGCTCATAATTGTTATAAATGCAGCTAGTTTTTTTTATTTATAGTTCGCACACACATGGAAAATTCCCCCTCCGCCCCCGCGGAGACCATAGGTACGTGCGATGTGCCACAGCCATCATCTTTTGATGTTCCGGTATAGCAGAATAAATGAGGCATTTATAACTTGAGCCGCTTGTGCGAGCGGCAGAAAAAGCTCGACTTTATTACACCTTTTAAATAGTTGCTAATAATTCTAAGGAGGTACGTCTGTCACTTCTAGGAATGGAATGACTGGGATGTCATGTACCACGAAATGCCCATCATATGTTAGCGATTGCAAATTTGGCAGTATACATACAACTTCAGACATACGAATAATGTGTACAGTACATCTAATCTAAAGTGTATTCAAATCTCATTTACACTCCGCCCTGTCAAATCGAACACCAGCGCGCTACGTTGAAATTTGCAGGATCCTATTGGACAGTGATGGCGGTCGAGCGCCAATTTGGGGTTTTAGTAACTGGTTACAATTCGGTTAAAATATGTTCAAAATGGTTGCGCTTCCGGTCAGACTGGATACTGATACCTAAAGGGTGTTCAGATAGGGACGCTCGATGTTTGAACGGCGCGCGCGCCCAAACCGGTGGGGATACAGCTGTCAAATTTTGTGAGGTTATTAAGTTAGTCTTGACATTTAATCATGGATTCGATTCAACAACGCGTGGAAATTGTGAAAATTTATCATCAAAACAGATGTTCGGTTCGTGAAACGTTCCGCGCATTGCGTCCAATTTATGGTGCGCATGGCCGTCCTGCTGAGTCCACTATTCGACGTCTGCTCAATAAATTTGAGAGAACTGGCTCAGTGGCAGACCAAACAACACCCGTACGGCAACGAACAGTAAGAACAATCGAGAATATTGCTGCTGTGCGAGAGAGCGTGCGTCAAGACCCGAATCAGTCATTGCGGCGACGTGCACAAGAACTTGCCCTTCCAAAGACCTCAACATGGACAATTATGCGTCGAGACTTGAAATTGCACGCGTACAAAATTCAATTGACGCAAGAATTGAAACCGCAAGACCATGGACAGCGCCGTACATTTGCCGCATGGGCTTTAGAGCAGTTGCAAGTCGACCCTGCATTTGCACGAAAAATCATCTTCAGCGACGAGGCGCATTTCTGGATGAATGGGTATGTCAATAAACAGAATTGCCGTATATGGGCTGACCAAAATCCTTAAGTGACTTGCTCAATTGCTATGCATCCTGCTAAAGTGACTGTATGGTGCGGTTTCTGGGCTGGCGGCGTAATCGGTCCATATTTTTTTGAGGACGCTATGGGCAACGCGCTTACGGTCCATGGAGATCGGTATCGCGCCATGATTAATGATTTCCTGTGGCCTCAACTGGACGATATGGATCTAACAGACATCTGGTTCCAGCAGGACGGCGCTACGTGCCACACCGCACGCGCAACGCTGGATTTACTGCATGAAAAGTTCAACGGTTTCATTATTTCGCGCGGCGGCGATGTGCACTGGCCACCAAGATCGTGCGATATAACGCCTTTAGACTTTTTCCTGTGGGGCTACGTGAAGTCTCAAGTGTATGCGGATAAGCCACAAACAATTGCAGCATTAAGGGCCAACATCATTCGCGTCCTCGGACAGGTAGACGCTGAAATGTGCGGAAAAGTGCTCGAAAATTGGACCATGCGAATGCACGCTGTACAGCGCAGTCGCGGTGGCCATTTAAACGATATAATCTTCCATACATAATGTCGTCGAATGCTATTTACGATCAATATAGACTTTTAGTGCTGACTTAATTTTTTTTCCTTTTTTTTCCATTTTAACTTTCGAGCGTCCTTATCTGAACACCCTTTACATGCTTATTTTAAATGGGACAGCCTATATATTAATTCATATTTGGATTCTAGGCAAGATTATAAGCACATGTTATGTATATCATTCTATCTATGTATAGCAAGTCGAACTGCTTTTGAAGTATGTATTTTAAATTTTATGTACAAATAAACAATCATCAATTTTTCCTGTATGTGTTTTGTTGTGATAATGAAAGAAAATAAAAACTGGTTTTTAAAAACCTAAGTGATTTTTTAAACAAGAACCTCCGATTTTTATAATACATTAAAGTAGATATAGGTTTGTCAAATTAGTACTTCCTGAGATATTTAGCAAGACCCGTTTTCCTATTGCATCAATACACTGCACAGCTTCTAAACTATTAGTAAATCCCAGTTGGACATTTGTCACTATTAGCGCGCCATGGTCAACTGAGATTACTGATAGTAAAATTCGTGTGGAACATGCTTCACAAAACGGATATTTCTAAATATCCTGCAAAATACTATTTGAAAATTTGACGATCTTATACAGAAGTAACCCTATTTTTAATGCTTAGTTCGACAAGCTTATGAAAATAGATGCTTACCATTTGTAAAAAGTGACTTTTGGGTTTTTTTGGAATCCAGTTGTTATTCTCTCTTTGAAATTTCTATAATATTATTAATGTAGATATCGAATAAAGTCTACTAAAAAAAGTCCCGTATTATAAGAAAACCGTTACGCCGGTATAACCGGAAGTGCAGCCATTTTCACTTTGTACATACTCTTTTGTACTTATCTTTGCATCCAATTCGGATGATTCATTTTCAATATTTTAGACTTTTACGGTGGTTGAAGATGTAGTACCACATAAGAGCTTTCGACCAATATCAAGACTCCAATCTAGTTTTTTTCATTGAGTTTGACAGTTACATGTCAATGTCATCCGAAAAAACTAAATTTATCAACTAATATTTCTTACGTGATGTGGGTAACAGAAAACAGAGGACCGTTATTTTCATTTGCTTTCTGGACATGTAACAGTAGTAGTGGAGGGGAGGCGGAGCCTGGCAACTCTGACCTTTTTTTGTCGACCCCGTTGTACCAACATGCTTGGTTTCTGAAGATAGTTTAACAAATCCAACACAAACCGCCGATATTGTAAGGTAAGATAAAACTAAAAAAAGTTTGTTTGTGAGCTTATACAAAGATGTAGGTCTTTTCACGATTTTTGGTGGGTCACAGTAAAACTACAAAAATAATCGCTTTTATACGTCCATCTCCATCACACATACATTTTGTAATTGGCTCTAATGCACGGACTGTAAGCTCACAGACATACATTTTTGTTTTGTCTCAACATCTCGAAAATGTTCTCGACGTTGTCATTGTCAGTATGACAACCGGCTTGTCCTGGGAGTGCAGCGTGAGTTTACCTTTGTTGATTTTCAATATAAAACTCAGCATGCCTGAGGATCCAACTTTGTCATTAGTCTGTATTTGCAGAAAGTGAATAAAAACATCCTATCATCCAATTCATATGTGCGAGAAAGGCCACACGCTGCAGTTAGGTTATCTGTTTACTTATTTCGTATGGCATGCCCTTGTAAAAACTGAATAAGAGCTTAGGGTGGGATACATCTAGGAGGGAGGAGGGGAGGCGCAAGTCTCTCGATTCAGGTCTAAGAATGTAATTTTTACACCAACATACAGCAATATATACCATTTCCTTGAAAAAAAAATGGGGCGT